CTTGCAAGTCCAGTCTCCAGAACGGTGAGAAAATAAATGTTTACACAACTGAAACTGGCATTTTGTCATAGCAGAATGAGCAGATGCACAGAATGGATTAGGAGTAAATTAGACACAAGTCTGATTTACTCTTGTGACAGACAGTACAAGGAGGCCCATACATCTCATCATGCAACAGACCAGAGACACCAAGAGGGACCTCAGCAACATTCACACTCAACGGTGCATAGGCAGGAAGACCTAAAGCCAATCCACGTGTGCAGAACACTAATCTGTACACAAGACATTCCCTCAAATCAGAGAGCAGTGAGTTCGACTCTGGGGCTGGGGACCAGGCAGGATGCAGGGACAGTGACCCTCAGAGCAATTTCTTATAGGCAGTGATTCTATACTGTATCTACAGTATGCAATATTTGAGTACTGTTACAAATCCTGATAACTGTCACAAAATCTAGAAACCTATAATCTCACTGCCCTAAAAACAAGGGAATTCCTATCTAATATAGCACACACACCCTCACATGACTCTGTCCTGGAGATAAGACATGGGGCTTGGCGCTAACACAAAGATTGTGACAAAGGGGCAGAGCATCACCCCTAATCATGTGTTTAGGACAATCTTACTATGGGTTCAAGACACAGCACCTGCCAAACATATACAGAGCCCTAAGTTTGATTCTGAGCACTGCATATAGGGGCTGTCCTACCAGGCTGGAGGGATGCCCTACACTGGCCTTAAGGAAGCAATGGCCTTATGCCCTGCCTGTGGAGGTCACGACCCTCAGCAAGACACTGCAAGGAAATTCTGGCAACCTGAATGAGCTCGGGGGCCCAATGCTCTACAACTGAGCTGTTAACCCTGACTCTGAGACTCCAGACTCCAGAGAGGACCTGTAACCCCTCAGCTACAATGTTCTTGGTGACACAAACTCAACTCATGTTGGACACAGGGACAAAAGAAAGGGAACCAGGTGTAGTAGCGTGCGCCTGTAGTCCCAGCACTTGGGAAGAAGAGCCATGAGGATCACCTGAAGTTCAGGATGACATAGCGAGACTCTGTCTCAAAACCCCATCCAGAGAGAGGGGGAGGGGGAGAGGAAGAGCAAGAGATTTCTCTCTAGCAACTGCCTTCTACTGACCTGAACAAAGTGCTATTGTTCAGTGCTATTGAAATGAAGTAGAGATGAAGGCATTGACAATTATGAGCCCGAACTATATGCTTCTATGTAAATAATGTTTCTATTAGCCTGTGGCTGGCCCTGTGTAAGAGGTGAAGTTCAAGGGGAAACAGTCTTCTTCAAATAAGAGACACCTTAAGTAATAATGGTCAAGGAATTTCATATACTAGAAACATGAAATTATACTACAATTCTTTATAGTTTTGACATACTATATTTAACAAACTACAATAAAGAGCAGCTCTTGATATGAAAAATCAGTGTTTAAGTTAAAAGTACACATTTTTCACCACACTTATGCAAGGTTCGGTTAAGCAAAAAGAGCTGCAGGCACAGAGCACCCATGTGCACACCCTGCACACAGAAGGCCTGTCTGAGTTCCACCAGCACCCTCCCATCATCCACCTACTAGGTGCCAACAGCACCACACCCCCAGGCTGTGACAACCAGGGATGTTTCCAGCATACCAATGTCCTCAAGAGGCTGCAGACAGGACAGAACCCTGCTGTTCTGTCAACTCCATTTTGTGTGTTCAATAACACATTTAACAATTCTATATGAAATCTTTTGTCCACATTACAAATTTTGAGTGTTTTATTACAAATTCTGACATATAAAAATGTTGCACTTTCTCTTTAAAACTGATAATGTATATATAAAAATGTACTCTTGGTATTTAATGAGCTGTCCCTAGCTAAGTGTCCCCAAATTCATTTCTCCCCACAATTTCTTTGAGCTTCCCATAAACCAACTGGGGAATGAAAGATGACAACACAGGTTTCCCTTGTGTTAATCTTCTGATGCACAAGAAAAATCAGTTATTCAAAAGCTGAACTATAAGAGTGGGCTGTCTGTATTATAATGTGAACAGCTCACATACAACAGCTCAACAGAGTAAGCATGATCTTCTCAATAAGGCAAAGTATATGAGGAGACTAGGGCAGAGAGGGCAAGGCCTCTGTTCCCCTGTCAATTCATCTCACCTCAGGACAGCTTTCTCCCACCAACACTCCCAGGGCCGCCTGGGGACCATGTGGATTCACAGGGCACAAGACTCAGTCATGAGGCATCTCATGGGCACTGCGACACCCAGAATCAATGTCCATCACTAGGTCCACATCCCCAGTACTGTCCAGACACATGGTCCCATCACAATGATGGAAAACCACGCAATGGGGACCAGTGTATCCAAGTGAAAAAAAGAGTGGGTTGGGGACAGCCACCTCTGCACAAGCCCTCAGGTTTACTGAGATGTCATGTTTAACAAAATGTTTTCCTATACTCACAGGGTCTTTCTCCTGCCTGAGTTTTTCAATGTATTGTAAGAACTGGCTTCCAGTAGAATGATTTCTTGCATTCACTGCTCACAAGGCGTCTACCTTGTGTGAGTTCTCTGATGCCTGCTGAGGTGTGACTTCTGGCAAAAGGTTTTACTACATTCATGACATTCATAGGGTTTTTCTCCTGTATGAGTTCTCTGGTGCACAGTAAGCACTGATTTTTGATAGAAGGATTTCCTACATTTATTACACTCATAGGGTTTCTCTCCTGTGTGTGTTCGCTGATGCACAGTGAGATCTGACTTCTGATAGAAAGACTTCCCACATTCATTACATTCATAGGGTTTCTCTCCTGTATGTGTTCTCTGATGCACAGTAAGTTTTGATTTCTGGTAGAAAGTTTTCCTACATTCATTACATTCATAGGGCTTCTCTCCTGTGTGTGTTCTCTGATGTACAGTGAGGTCTGACTTCTTGTAAAAAGATTTCCTACACTCATTACATTCGTAAGGCTTCTCTCCTGTGTGAATTCTAAGATGCAAAATGAGGTCTGACTTCTGGTTGAAAGATTTCCCACATTTATTACACTCATAGGGCTTCTCTCCTGTGTGAGTCCTCTGATGCCTGCTGAGGTTTGACTTCTGGTTGAAAGACTTCCTACACTCATTACACTCATAGGGCTTCTCTCCTGTGTGAGTTCTCTGATGCACAGTGAGGTCCGACTTGCGGTAGAAAGATTTTCTGCATTCATTACATGCATAGGGCTTCTCTCCTGTGTGAGTCCTAGGTTGTGAAGTGAGGTCTGACTTTTGGTAAAATGATTCCATGCATGTATTATACTCACAGGGCTTTTCTTCTGAGCGTTTCCTCTGATGAGCTGTAAGGTATGCTTCCTTAATGAATAACTGCTCACAGTCACTGCATATGTGAGGCTTCTCTGCTGTGTGCATCCTCTGATGCTTAGTGAGTACAGGTTCTGAATAGGTCTTCCCACATGCGTCACAGTGCAGCACCTCCCTCTCTACCTGAGTCACTTCTCGGATGATGAAAGCTGACTCATCACAAGCTTGCCCGTGTTCACTATATTCACAGGAGGACTCTCCCACATGTACCCGTTTACGTATGAAGAGTATCGCCTCTGCGTTGAGAGCCTTCACTTCTCCACTGTACTCAAAATTCTGCTGCCCAGTTTGAATCCTGTGATCCTCACTGCGATAGTCAGGATGTCCAAGGGATTTCCCAACTGTACTGTGGGCATCCAGCATCTCATGAGGCACACGAGGCAGGAGCACATTCTGATACACAATAAACTCTTCAGTCCTCATTCCTAAGTAGTTTCCATTGTTTATAACCAGCTTTGAAATATGGTTTGAGCTCAAATCAAATGTTCTTTCTAATCCAACTCTCTCCTCTGCTATATTGCTGTTGGTGATCACAACTTGCCACAGCTGTCTGTCTGGACTGTCCTGGCTGGTCTCACTCGGGTCTTCCGCTTTCTGGACATCTAAAAGGATCAATTATAACAAACGTACTCTTGAACCACACATAAGCATTTCTCATGGAATGCCTATGCAAAGGTAAGGAAGTTTCTTCTTATTCTACTGGATAAACTTTTAAAATATTAATAACAGGTATAGGCTTATGGAAAGTATATACCTATTCTCCTAAAGGGAATGTAATGAGTAATTTGATGCCTTTTACAATATTGTGTTTTTCTCTGCTTCTTTAAAACTTTTTGTTCTTCTTTTAGTATCTAAGGAAATATTTAGTCAAATTATTCAGTTGCTGCCTGGTTGTAGTTTAAGATTCAGTACTGTTCATCTGCCATTTGTTTTTCTTATTCTTTTTTTTTTTACATTTTTTCTTATTAATTGCGGGTATTTTATACTGCTTCTTTTCTCACCCTTTAGATCTCTCCTCAGATCAGCTACAGTTGGATGCATAGCAGGACCACTTCCTTGCCCAAATCCTAAGCATGAATCTTTCCTGGGGGCAAGGATTTGTATCTACATTTGTTTAGTCTTTGCTGCTCCCTTGGGAATGGCTATAGGAATCTGTGGGGGATTTCAAGTCTCTTCTTCCCCATCCTGGATAAAGAGAATGTCCTTCAAATTCCAAATTTAACCTGGTATCTTCTGCTTCTCAGAACCCCAATACCAGTCCACCACCTGGCCAACCCATCTTGATTCTGCAACCTGGGCTGTGCCCACCATCCCAATAAGCTGGCCTTCCCCAGGCCTGCTGCACCCCTGCTTGTTGATAAGTTGCTTCTGAAGCCTTTGTTTTATGCGCTGGCATTTCATCTGTCTCCGTTTCACAGAAAATGAAGTTTCCTGTACATTCCTTATTCTGTTGTTTTAGAATGATTTCCACTAGGAGGAGAAAATGCTAATTTCAAACTCCACTCCCACCCAGGAATCTGAGCTGCTCAATATAGAGTTCAGGACTGTGGGAACTGGGGAAGAGACTTCTGACAACAGCCCAGCACAGCTCCATCAGCTAAGCTCTTTCTAACCAGCCTCCTTCCTAGGACATAACTGACCTGAAAGGGTCTGGCTTGGGGGTTCTTCTCCCATCCATGGCTGTGCTCCCTGCTCCAGTTTGATGGTCTCCTCTGGGCTGGGGGTGCAGTGCCCTGTTAATGGGAAATGTTAACAGTTCTGCCTGGGTTAAGTCCTCCCTGACACCCTAACTCTGACATCCTGACACACAAGTCTGACTTCCAAACCTCTTCCCTCAAAGCTACTGATTTCCAAAGTTGTATGTCTACCAGTGATACATATTCTATTCTAGATTGTATATTCACCTATATATTATATAAATTGGAACACTGTCACCTCAAAATTAAGCTATGTGAAATAAACAACTATCTCTCTAAAACTGCTTCCCCTAAGAACCCTTCCTACAATACCCCATTTTCTATTTCATCGTGGTAAAGCATTCTTTGTGACTCTTATCTCACAACAGATATACAGAGTCCACCAAAAAAAATGTATATACATTTCAGGAAAAGAAAAAAAATATGAAGCTTTTTTCAACAGATGGTGCTATTCCCATATGGGGGACCCTACAAGATGTCATATATCACAGAAAACTCGCTACACTGCCAGTCCTTAGAGAAGAAATTGAAAATGTATGTGCAGCCATCTCAATGACCAAGGTTGCCCAGGCAGCAGTTTGCCATACTAATAAAGGTCTGGAAGCTCATGGCCACCACTTTGAGCACCTCCTGTAATTGTAGAGGCCAAAGGTAACATATTAATGTCATGATGTCTCAATGAATTTAGTATTAAAATATTTATACAAGTTTTTATTTTCCTGAAGTATGTATATATTTATTTAGGCAAACTTTGTATTTCTTTGGGTTTTATCTTTTAAGAGAACATAAGCTCTCTAAAAGGAGATATATTTGTTTAATTATCATTATCTACACAACTACAAAACACCAGCCCCTATGAGTTGCTTAATGTTAATATGTACAGAAAGAATGAGTAAATGCACTAATTTTTTAAAAAGGCCTTGGGAATGGAAGGAAAAGGGGCATCTGAGAATTCAGAAAAACTCACCAAGAAAAAAATCTAAGATCCAGAGAGTGACTAGAGTTGTAGAAAGTCTAAGAAAAGTAGGAGGAGGTGGAACTAGGCTTGAGAAGCTCCACCAAGATGTCAACAAAGGCATCTGACCCTCAGCCCCACTATAGGAACAGGAGAAAACTCTCCATGAGTGGCCCAGCACAGCCCCATCACTGGACACTGTGCCTCCCAGCCTCCTTCCCAGGATATAACTGACCTGAGAAAGTCTGACTTGGGGGGCCTTCTCCCATCCATGGCTGTCTCCCTTGTTCCAGCTTGACGATCACCTCAGGTTTAGGATTTCTGTGCCCTGTTAGTGGGAAATGAAACAGGACTTCTGGCACACTGCTATTTCAAGGCTTTTGAAGAAAGCCAACAGTATGGCTTCAGGAGCTGTGCCACAAAGGGGCCAGTAAGGGTCTTTAGTTAGAGAGCAGTGACACATCCTTCATGGGCTGGACTCTTAAACGTAGATGCCATGAAGTCATTTTTACCTGTTCTATACACTGAGAAGAAAGCACTTGCTCCTGGAAGTTACTGATTCATCACTCACCCAAGGACACCAGGCTGCTGTAGGTCTCCAGCATCACGTCCCTGTATAGGTTCCTCTGAGCATCATCCAGGTCCTGCCACTCCTCCCAGCTGAAGTCCACAGCCACATCCTCAAATGACACCAACCCCTGTAATGGCACATTTCTCTTCACTCAAGTCATCAGCCCTGGGATCTTGAGAACACAATATCTCAGGCTCAGGCTCAGGGAGATGTGTGTGTGTGTGTGTGTGTGTGTGTGTGTGTGTGTGTGTATGTACACGCATGCATGCAAAGGAGGGAGCTTGTTCTGTATTCTGTATAGTGAGAGAAAGAAAAACCAAGGCAGAAACATCCTATCTGAGCACTGGTTTGTTAATCACTAAAAATACCATCTTGAAGTTTCTCACAGACTTGGAAATGTCCATGATACCAGGATTAAAGCCAGGATATGAAATCTCCACTAAGGAGCATGTGGTCTGCTGAGATGACATGAAGCACACACACTTCTGCAATCATGTGTTCAGCCAATTTAGACACAAGTTCAAGGTAAGTCACAGAAACAAGGAAGCAGAAAAACACATTTTTCCATGTTATTAGATTGTGCTTCACAGAAAAGCCAAACATGTTTAGATCTTCCAAAACAGTATGTCTCAGGAACAAGAGGCCATAAGAGTCCACTCATGAAATCATAAAGAACTCACAGTACATTAAAAGAAGTACAATACAAAAGACACTTTGCCCAGGTGAGGAGCCCTGAGCTGTGATGAGAGAAAAAGGCAGTAAAGGTATTTGACAACCTGATTATAGAATGATTCTGACTTACTCAACACACTTCCAATAATAAATAGCTCATCTGCTCACTGCTGTTAGCAAATTACCTACAGATTAATGTTATGTTCACAGACATCCTTGTATTTCCCTCCTAAATCCAAAAGAACTGCCAGCGTACATAAGAAAGTGAACATCATTTACCTTCTAAAACACATGGCACAAATAATGAGAGTCCAGTAAAATTTGTATTAGAGTCAACCCTCAAAGGACAACAAAGAATGACTTACAGGAGGACCAACTTTGAGGTGGAAATGATTTCCACTTGGAGGGGGGCTGGTCTGTAACATGCTTAGTCAAGAGAACCTAGCAGTCAGAGCACTGTTAAAATTATTAGAGATGAAAGATAGCACTTCAATTTGAGACATGCAGTATTTAAGTTTAGACTATTGGTTCATACAAAGAAATAACAATCATCTTACATGTTGTGATACAAACAATAAATATTTAAAATGTTCAATTAAGAAAAAAACTTCATGGCATTGGGTTTGGCAATTATTCCTCAGACACCAAAAACCTGAGTAAAAAAATCAGGTAAGGGTAAGGAGGGATGAAAAAGGAATTAAGATGTATTAGTTACATGTACCAACTCCCCACAAGGAATATAAACATTATGTACTACACACATATACTAATAATAAAAAAAGGTGAACTCTAAAATTAAGATTTTTTTGTGCATCAAAGAGCAGTGTCAATTTGTCAGTGAGTTTAACTAATTTAGGGTACTAGTGAGCTTCTGAAGAAACGAACTGAGAATTCACTGGGTAGGTTAAAGTACCAATGAGCAGAATCTACCAAAAAGTACAACTTAGCACAGCCTGCTGCATACCCTACAGACACACAAGGTGAGTAAAATGTGCATACAATTATTTCAGGACAGAAGATGACTTGATCTTCCAGGCTGGCCAAAAGCTGTCTAGGACCACACTATTTTATCAACTTTAAAAAAGCCACCTTTACACATTTACATGTGATCAATTAAGATAGTGTTCCAGACTCAGGTGTCAGCAAATCCCCGATTCCGTAAGAGGCCAGCATGCTTACCCTCAGGATTATGTGAGTCACCTAACAAGGAAGACTGCCTTTTGCCATGATATCATAAAGACTAGAGACAAACCTACACTAAGCTTAGAAGACTCTAAAATTTTGTAGTCTGATAAATCTATTTACTAACTATTTACGTATACTTCCCTGAGGCTCAGTCTTGCTTTTCTACTTTTCCACCTTAATTCCCAGATCCCATAAAGTTCATTAAATATAATCTAAAACAAAAAGAATAAATAACTCACCATAGATTTATTCCATTTCTGTTGCTCTTGGAAATGCACAGAAGATTCTGGAAGCATAGCTGGGACTAGAGGTGAACAGAGTGGAGGCATAAGAGAACGCATGTGGCTGTGTCCTAAATTCTCCTGCTCAAAACATTACACATGAGCTGGAAAAGAAGAAAAAAGGGGGGAAAAAGAAGCTCCTATTGGAGAAGAGCCCTTTAGGTCTTAAATAAGGTTGTCAAAGTCCCTACTAAAGACACAACCATAAGCCAAGTAGGTGGTAGAGATTAGAAACAAAATTCATTTTGGGGTTAAAGTAAAAATAGTAATTACCTACAAACAATTGACATTCTTCAAAGAAATAAAAGGGCAAACACAGTGCTTTCACTAAAATTTTTGCTTTAGAAATAAAATTGAAATGTATAAAGTATTTTCCTACTAATACAGAGATACACCCACGGACTCCAAAAGAGTTTTTCCACTATAGTTCTTACCTTTGTACACTCAAACTTCATGGAAAAATACGCATGTTGAAATCCAACAATTTTCACCCATAATTACACATGGGAAATGTGATTTAGTAATCCAAACAAACAAGGGAAATATTGTTAACTCCAAACCTACTAGATATTGAAAACTCGAGTTCATGTTCTCTAAAATCAAAGAACAAATTCTATGAACAATGGAAGTCAAGAATAGGAAAAATTTATTGTGACAAAGACAGCTTCTAAGAGAGACAGAATTCTAAGGGGGCCAGAAAGTGGGTCACCCACCCACCCCACTTTTCAAAGGCGTTCTACTGAGCAAAGCCACAAGGTGAGGTGGGTACAAGGTGGGACAAAACAACAGTCAACTAAAAAGATTACAAATATTGTTGCTTAGGTAATATTGATCCAATGGGACTCATGAGGTGGGATAAAACTATGATCAACTAGTAAGATTACAAGTATAGTCACTTAAGTAATATTGATTAAATGGGGATCAAATGGGGAAGCTAGTCACACAGCAACTGTACATGGAACAAACAGGATTTCCCTGGAAGGAATGGGCGAGGGAGGCTTCCATCCCTGCTCAAGGTGATTCATACCTATTTAGAATATCAATCACTGTTATTTATCTCTTGGGGAAGTATGTAAATATAGTATTTTCTCTTTTTTATAATGCTGACCTTTAGTGAATGAGTCTCAACTGTCTTTCCCACTGACTCCTTGAAGGTTGGCCCTAACTGTCTATAAGATATCTAATTAACTTAGCTGTCTACAATATTCCCCCCTCTGAAGAAGTATCCCAAACTGTAGTTAGGGGAAATGGGACATAGTTTCTACCTCCTTCAGGCTGAGAAGGATTGATGGAGGAGAGACCCTCTTCAGAAAGCTAATCTAATGGGCCTCAGGTAGAAGTTATATTGTAGTTTAGCAGTTATAAACTTTTTACAAGGTTGGTCTGATGGATCCCAGTAAGAGGAGGTCTAGCTCATTTGTCATTGGTTCCATCTGTTTGATCAGTTGGAGTTTGGCAGCATCTAGGCAAGAATCAACAAATTTTTCAAGAAAGTACAGCATGTATAATCCAAGCTTGTGCAGGAAAATGAAAAGGCGGGTTGGGGAAAGAACTACATTTAGAACCTGTCCTTAAGAGACTGAAATAGCAATTGTAACCCACTGGCTCTTAAAAACTCTTTTACTGATGGAGGTTATCTATAAGTCTGATATTTTGTTATAAGTCTCTCTAGTTTTAGCTCTAAGTAGAAGCAATTTGAAGGACGATTTTAGCTAAGAAATTTTAAAACTCTTGTTGAGCTCTTAAACATTTTACCACAGATTTTTTTAATGACCCATAACAGTGGTCAGCTACCAATGTAGCTGGAAACTACTAGAAGATGTCAGCAATGGAGCCCCCTTTTATATCTACCTTTATTCTTATGGTCTTAACTTAGTATCCTTAGTTATATTTTTCTACTATGGGTGTTTAAGACAAAGTTAAAGTGAGACCTGTATCAACCGGGTATGGTGATGCATACCTGTAATCCCAGCACTTAGGAGGCTGAGGCAGGAGGATCACTGTGAGTTCGAGACCAGCCTGGGCTACATAGTGAGTCCCAGGTAAGTCTCAACTACATAGTGAGACCCTGTCTCAAATAAACCCCCTCAAAAAAAAAGTGAGACCCATATCAATTGAATTAACCTCTTGCTATCTATCAAGGTCAGTTAGGTCTCTGCAGGCATTTCTTTGGAATAATGTACACAGCCTTTCAGCTCTTCAGTCAGTGTCAGCTGTCATGATGGGTCACAGCCTTGCTTGACCATGTTGCTTTCAGTGAAAATGTGAGAAACATTTCCCCTCTTGGTGACCCTCCTTACGCACACTGTATATTTATTGACTTTTGGCCTCTGACATACAGCAAACTCCCTCAGGAGGTTTGGTGACTCACCAAAGATGTATGATTCTGCAGAAAAGGTTCTCTCATGTCTTGAGTCCTCGTTGACCTTAGCTATTATTTTAGCCCAGTTACCTTACTAGTTTTGGTCTCTAAACTTTAGTTGTTGAACACCCAGAAGAGAAGATCAATGACATCAGCTTTGCAGTGGAAGCAGTAAGCTTAACTATTATACTTTTATCTGAATATCAAGCACTTTGAAATATAAATAGAAGTCTATTATTTTATCAACCATGGTTGTTTTAGTAGTTGAATCCTTGGAGAATGTTAAGAGACAACAGTTATATAGTTTTATAGAGAAAACTTGATATCAAGAGCCACACATAGTATGTTAGCATGACAATCATGATGGCACTATCTTTGTAACACACTTAAATGTCTATCTTAGCATAGAATAGTCTTTTAGTCAAACACCACCATCTAATCCAAGACATTAAATGACACAAAGAAAACCCTCACCTAATTTGTTATCTTTTAATAGGATGCCATCTAAAGAGAATGTACTGGCCTATAAATGTACCTTAGAAGTTTATAATGTCTAGCCTCTAATTTTAGTGTGTGGCATTATTTGGACTATTTGATGCCTAAGCATCTTTACATGTACTGACACATACAACATATATATCATATAAAAACCATTATATAACCAGTGATCTCATGCTGGCTTGACATGTGCCTCTCATCACAAGTAGCTGGAATGCAAGAGAAAGTCAGATACCTGAGTCAAGAAAGGTTATTACCATCTTAGAAGACCCATGCACTGCAAGGCATGAATACATTTGGTACACCATGAAATTAGCAAGAATGAGTGTCACAGTTGTATGAAACTCTTTGTCTCTTAATTTAGTCTTGTATCCAAAGCATCTTTTAATAAAAACTTGTTTTCCCACAGAAAACTTACGCCTTTTGATGATGACCGATATAAACATATCACGGTAATGTTTAGCAATGTTTATTGGGGTGTATTTCTCCACCTCTCATACTGACCATCAGATTCTTGAGTCTTCAAGTTATGAGAGCTGTGACCCAGGGCTGCCACTCTGAGCTGTACAGCTCAGCTATGCCTCAGAGCTGTGGCACCTAGCTATCTCACTGAGCTGCTCTGCTCTGCTCTGCTGCAACACTTGGTTCCATGACTGGGAAAATGATCAACCTGGCCCTCTGAGCTACCCATTCAGAGTTAGAGAGTGGCCACCAGAATCCCTCTCTGAAGAACCAGATAGCATGCCTCCACCCAGCTTGGTGGTCCCTTCATCGGGTGAGGGTGACTGAAGACTACACTTGCCTCTCCTGACTGGACTTGGGAGAAGAGGTGGACTAAAAAACCCCTTCAGAGCTTCAGGATACAGGAAAGCCCTGGGGCCCATTTGGAACCCAGTCAGGCCTGTCTCAATGGACAGGAGAGTCTGATCATCTCTCACGGTCTCAAGTGAGAGATCTCAGTCAGGGACCTCCCCTCAGGATATGGTAAAGCCCCCAGGGCCCCAGTTTGAACTCAGTCATATGTGTCCCAGTGGACAAAAGAGAGTCTGATCACCTCTCATAGACTCGAGTCAGAGACTTCAGATGGGGACCTTCCCTCAGGATTTAGTAAAGCTGCCAAGGGGCCCAGTATGAACTCAGTCAGGCCTGTCCAAGTAGACAGGAGAGTCTGATGACCTCTCAGAGCCTCAAGTCAGAGACCTCAGTCAGGGATCTAAGGGGGAAGGAATGTTTTAACCTCTGAGTAATTGGTGAATGTGTGAGTGAGTGTAACTGGGTGTGATCCTCCACAACTGGTCTGTGCAGCTCCACAGCTTTGGCTATGGAGTCTGATTGGGTCCTACCCTGAGGTTCCATGGTGATGTTGTACAGCACAATGGTGACACACCTCCTGTAATGGGAGGCTGACCCAGCAGTTGATTACTCATGCACCTTAGCCAAAATGTGCCTAAGCTCCTATGAGGGATGCAGCCAAACAGACACCTGTGTGGTCTCCTTTGGGGGGGCTCCCATCCTTTGTCTATTGCACCACCATTCAAGGGCACTACATACACTATGGGTAACAACTACAGAAAACCCACAGTCCTAGACTACATGGTCAAAAATTCTGAGAAGGGATTTAGTGGGGAATATGGAGTTAGACTGAAGCCTGCAAAGTTGAGGACCCTCCACAAAATAGATTGTCCCCAGTTTAATATAGGGTGGCCCCCTGATGGAACCCTGTGCAGGCAATCTGGAAAGTCATTACTGACAAGCCAGTTTACCCTGATCAGTTCCCCTATATTGACTGTTGGCTAGAGATAGCTAAAATTTGAAACAGCCCAACTGCCCATCAACTGGAGACTGGATAAAGATGTGGTATTTTTATAAAATACAGTACTATTCCACCATAAAGAATGAGAAACTAAGGCTGGGGATTTAGCTCAGCGGTTTGGTGGCCTGCCTTGCAAGCGCAAAGACCCAAGTTCAATCCCCAGTACCAAAAAAAAAAGAATGAGAAACTAGAGATTTTTATAGCTAAGTGGACGCACACTGAGGCCATACTCTGAAGTGAAATTAATAAGGCACCCATGCATAAATACTTTCTCTGGTGTGAAAAATTAAAAGTATAAATAAGGATCAAAATGTATAACTGATATTGTATAACAGGAAGAAAAGGTCTAAAGGAGTATAGGAAGTGGGAGGGGTAGGGGAAAGGTAAAAAGGGAAAAGAAAAAATATGTGCAAAGGAAAACATGGAAACAATGACTTTGTAAACAGGGAAGGGTGGAGGGGGTGACGGGAGGGCTGGGGAATGGGGAAAAAATATGAACCAAGATAAGTCATGTAAAGGTACAAGATCCGAATGATGAATGTAACTGTACTGTGTATCTAAAATGCACTGATAAACTTAACAAAAACAATAATAATAATAATCCTCTCCAGAGACCACTGCCACATTCAGGAATTCAGCACATAGGAACATCACCATTTGAAGACTTACAAATAGACTTTACTGAGAGGAAATCCAGTTTTAGACACAAATATATTCAGGATAGGTTGAAGCCAAACCAACCAGGACAGAAAAAGTCCAGGAGGTTGTTCAGCTCCTCCTCAGAGAAGTCATTCCCCAATATGGACTCCTTTGTCAACTAAAAATGACAATAGGTCTGCCTTCATGGATGAGGCTGTCCAAGGCTAAAGATTAAATGGAATCTGCACACAGCCTATTGGCCACAAAGTTCAGGAAGAGTAGAACACATGAATCAAGCCCTTAAAACCACCTTGGCTAAGTATTGCCAAGAAACAGGGGTGGAGTGGCCAGACATGTAACCTCTGGCCCTGCTCAGAGTCAGGTGCACACCTGGACCCTCAGGTTATTCCCCTTATGATATCATGTTTGGGAGACCTCCCCCAAACATTAGATATTTTAAGGGAGATGTTAGACAACTAGGAGATAATTATATAGCCTTAGAGTTGTAAACATTAGGTATAATCTTTTTACAAATTCATGAAACTCTTAGAAAGAACCCCCATCCCTATGGGGAACCCAGCACATCCCTTTCAACCAGGAGATTCAGTTTGGGTTAAAGACTGGAAAGTATATGACCCTATTTGGCTAGGGTCATATACTGCTATGCTTGCTACCTCCACTGCTGTCACAGTTACAGTTATTATCTCAGGGGTATATCACACTCAAGTAAAAAAGGCCCTCCCCCCAAAGGTCCCAGACACCTGGACTACACATCCAGACAACAAGAATCCCCTTAGGACTCAACTTAGATGGAAGACCTCAGGACTCAACCTTGCCTCAGAGACATCATCAGCAGACAACAGTTCTGCTCCAGTCACACCAGGAGCTGACTAGGACACCTTAAAATTCACCCCATAAACTGCTATCATCCTTGGTTTCTAGGCCTCCTTGGACTGCTCACGACCATCCATAGGAGTCTCCTAGTCCTTGTCTTTCTCTATTTCCTTTAAAGATAAGTTGTTCACCATAACCTAATAGATACAGCCATAACTAAAAGCCTGTTACTGTTACTCTCCATGGTGATGGTCTTGGGACACAATGACCCAGACCTCCTACTCACTTACTTCTCTAATACCCTAGAGCTGGTTCATGCCTTACTAAACTTGTCTCACCTCAGTCTCACAGAAGACTGTCAGTTATACCTTTCTGTTTCCTCAACCTCTACAGAGGCCATCCTGGTCTCACCTCAGGTTTGGGCATTGTCCACATCAGCCTAACATCCAACAGTAGATCTTAGAAACCCTCCTTCCACTAAGGTTGCTGTTTCATTCAAGAAGGACTTTTATAGGAAAAGTCAGGCCACAAAACACAGACCTATATTTGGCCCTACCTCTACTAACATTAAGCTCAGCTTTCAGGCCCTCCACTGTATAAGGTGGCTCTCCCTGAACAGGGCCTTCACTCCGATGTTTTGGGGCCTCCTGAGGCACTGAGACATCTACTGCTCTCCAACTGTAATTTTCGCTTAATCATACATTCACCCCACAAAAATCTTAATGTATGGGTTGACTCAGGCACTCCCAAAACTACCTTTCGGCCCAGACTAGATACCTCCCAATGATCAATGATCAATGATCAATGTGGAGTCCCACTTCTGTAAGGAGTGCAAACTCCCTCATTTAAGGGTTTTTTTCTGGGGAATCATGGTAGTACCAACCCCTTCTACTTGCATACTCTTACCCAATCTTAAAGGCTCAAAAGAGTTGTTACTGGTTGACACAAACAGCATCCTCTTACACTGGGAGAACAAAACTCAAGGTGCTACTCAACAGACACACTCAGGGCAAGCACCCACTCTTATGGGAGCAGCCCCAGCCTTCACACTGAGTGCATAGAAGGGAGATAAAAGCTATCAGACACTACGATAGTGTCACAACCATTTCTGTCCTCTCCAGGCATTTTCTGGTTCTGTGGGACTTCCGCCAGCCTCTGCCTCCCTGCTAACTGGAAAGGAACCTGTATTCTTGCTTATCTTAACCCCAAGATGGGCATTGCCCCTGGAGATACTGACTTCCCAATCCCAGCGAGGCTCATACCCAACAATGACAAGCTCCCTTCTTGATACCCAATAGTAGGCTTAGGAATAGCTTCAGGAATTGGGACTGGAGTCACAGGCATAACCCCTGTAGCCTTCACTTACTAGTCACTTTCCCACAAGTTAACTAGTAGCTTAGAAAAAAAATCTAATTCTATAACAGACCTACAAAAAGAGATAGACTCTTTAGCTGGAGTCACTCTACAAAACCACCATGTCTTGGACTGACTAACAGCAAAAAGGGGGAGAACTTGTACCTTTCTCAGGGAAGACTGCTGTTTCTGTATTAACAAATCAGCAGTTATTCATCCAGCTGTAAAAGATCTCCAAGACAAAGCTGCCAGGTTCCGGGAACAATCCCAAACTAGTGGGTTTTGGAGTTTCTCCTAGAATAACTGGACAACATGGTTTGCCACTCTTCTTGGAACCCTGGTCCCCATCTTCTTAATGGTTGACCCGTCTATTCAGGTGCACAAGACAGAGTTCAAGTTCTCATAAGACATTCAGTACAACAGTTACTGGTGAGAGCTCACCTATGACCCTGTACCTACTAGTAGCACATCAAAGGGGGGAACTGATAGAGAAGTGCTATACAATAAGATAGGCCCTTGCCTTACCTCCACTTTTTTCCCCCACAGAATGTTGTTTTGGAAATGTAAGTCTGTGCTGCTGGGCTCCTGCCCAATGTATCAAAATGGTTTGTGACTGTTTGAACTGTGTGACCTTTCAGGAATGTTCTGTTAAGCTCTGCCCCTTCACAAGAAGGTTCTGTCAAACTCCACCCCTCTCAGGAATATACTATAATTCCACCCCTCTACTTCAGGAATGTTCTATAACTCCATCCTCCATCCCACCCCAGCTTCAGTGAGCATGCTCACATAGCATGTATTTCAGGAATATTCTGTAACTCCACCCCTCTTCTTCAGGAGTGTTCTGAAACTCCACCCTCTGCTTCATTGAGCATGCTTACCTACGCTGCAGATCCCAATATAAGTAGGCTATCATTTTTGATAGAGTGCTCAGACTCCTCTGAGCCCGCCAGGGGCTCAGCATAACAAAGGTTTTTTTCTCCACCTCTCCTAATGACCATCAGATTCTCAAGTCTTCAAATTACAAGAGCTGTGACCCTGAGCTTCCACACCGAGCTATATAGCTCAGCTGTGCCTCCGTGCCTCAGAGCTGTGGCATTTGGCTATAGAATGAGCTGCACTATTCTGCTCTGTCACAACATCCTCTCACTAGAAGTCAATGTTTGATAAGAGCAACATTACATCTTTCTGATCTAGTTCATAGGTCTGAGTAAATCCTCTAAAGACCTCAATTTACTCATTCAGGTCATCTGAAAAACTTTTGTAGGTCTCGTTTGTTTGATCTGTCTTGGGTCACTGATAGGAAAGCACATATAAACTCGAGTACTCCTGTATTTTCCATTTATTCCTTCGTGTAAGGGATACTGTCTTGGGGGGGCTCAAAAAAACTAGCTAGGGATGAGTATTGTCCCATAGAGGCTTTAATTATGGCTAGACTAGAAACCCCACGCTCAGCACCCAAAGGGGAAGGGTGACTAGGGAAAACCTCAGACTTAGTAACAGTAGTCAAGGCTTTGATTAAAATTGTCTTGGAAACTGCTTCTTCAGGTTCCAAAGGGTGAAAAAGAATGGCCTCAGGCTCCATAGTACTGTGAGAGTAGCCCTGACCATGACCCCTTAGTTGTCACCTCAGTTTTCACTAGTTTATGCCATCAGAGATCTGTCCCCAGAAAGGAATCCATCTGTCACTGGCTTCAATGGGAATGAGGATTCACCAGTGGGCAATTGGAGAAACCCATCCTCTGCTCCGAGAGTGGCAGCTTCCCTAAGGGCAATTACTAGATGGCAGAGAGTACCCACTATTTGTTTAGCATCTGTAAGAGGCAGATAAAGCTTGCACTGTCTTTATCTAAGATAATCTCAAGAAAGATCCACTTACAGCATTTTTAAAATTTAAAATTTAAAGTCCACTAGGTGGTGTGCTAACACTTTTTCTCTAGTGCTTGTTTTCAAATAAAACAAAGAACATAACGTCAGCAACTAAGTCCAAATGCAACATATATAAAATGGGAATAAAATGCAATTTTAACAAGGGACAATAAATATATCATAAAAGAAACAAGCAATTTGCAAAATTTAAGACAAATTTGAAACAAAAGACACAATCTATGAAATAAAGACTAGAATTTATGAAAAAAGAATCTAAAAAGACAAGAACCAGAGTTTATGAAACAAAAAGTTAGAATCTATGAAGCAGGGATGGGGATTTAGCTCAGTGGTTCCGCTGCCTGCCTTGCAAGCACAAGGTCCTAAGTTCGATCCCCAATACAAAAAAAAAAAAAAAAAAAAAAAAAAAAGTCTATGACGCAAAAATCGAGAAAGGTAAAACCTATGAAATAAAGGCAAACTCTTATTTCATCCAATGATGGCTGTGGAAGACCCATCTCCAAATGATATAAGGCAACAAGTAGTCCAGATAAACAAAATAATCCAAATGAGAAATATTGTAACTCCCAACCTACTAGATATCCAAAACATGAATTCATATTCTCTGAAATTTGAGAATTCTAGGAATAATGAAGGTTAAGAGCAGGAAAAATTTATTGTGAGAAAGATAGCTTCTAAGAGAAACAGAAGGGGGATAAAACTATAGTCAACTAATAAGGTTACAAATATTGTTGTTTAGGTAATATTGATCCAATGGGACTCATGAGGTGGGATAAAACTATGATCAACTAGTAAGATTACAAGTATAGTCACTTAAGTAATATTGATTAAATGGGGATCAAATGGGGAAGCTAGTCACACAGCAACTGTACATGGAACAAACAAGATTTCCCTGGAAGGAATGGGCGAGGGAGGTTTCCATCCCTGCTCAAGGTGACTCATACCTATTTAGAATATCAATCACTGTTATTTATCTCTTGGGGAAGTATGTAAGTGTAGTACTTTTCTTTTTTATAATGCTGACCTTTAGTGAATGTGTCTCAACTGTCTTTCCCACTGACTCCTTGAAGGTTGGCCCTAACTGCCTATAAGATATCTAATTAACTTAACAATAAATGTACATCATATATATTTCTTGTGGTATACCATTCCAGTAATGATTCCCCATGTATCTCCTGTATCCAAACACTCATAAGTACCCCTGGATAATGACTTGGAATCTGCCATTTGACTTGTCTTGACCAAAGGGACAGTACATACAATGCCAGCACAGGTTTGAGAAGCATTTATCCACTGGTGCTAGCTTTCCTGTATAGTTATATTGTGAAGAAACTCAGAGCTGTCCTATAGGAGACCTAGGACTTAGCAAAAAGCTTGCACAAATTGCTGGCCTGGTGAATGAAGCTATTTTAAAACAACCAGCCTCAGCCATGGTACCAGATGACTAAAGCCTTGTCTATAATCCAAGCAATGCTAGTAAAAATGCCCAGCTGAACCCACCATCAAATGTGAATTCACAGAACTTCAAACAAATAAAATGGTTGAGTACTTTTGCCAGTATGTGTTGGCTGGTTTGTTAATACTCATTGCTTATTGTTTTTTAACAAAATTATGTACCAAAGAAGTCTTGAAATGCAATTAGATGAACTGCATGGCCACATATACAAGTACTGAAAATCACAAAACTTTGTGAACTTCAGTTAGGTTGCTGGTAGAGGCTATATAAATCACTAAAAAGCAAATGTATGAACATCAATAAATTGTGCCTTAAGTTTTTCTGCATCATAAAATGTCTAGTTGGGAGGTTCTTTTTTTCAAGATACAATCCTGCTATGTAGTTCAGGCTGGCCTTGAACTAAGTAGCCCAGTCTGGC